GAAGACAAGATAAAGTCCGAATATTTTTTTTTCCATAATAAATTACATTACATTAGCTTTAATTTAAGATATATATAAAAGTGTCAGACTTTCCGGAACACTTTCAAAATTTAAGTTGAAAAATCTACTTTCTACATGCATTTTTTAGATTTGAACCCCCCTCGTATATAGGGAAATGGTCCGATTTAAAAAGACAGTATGTCAAATGAAAGATGTATATAAATACTACTCCTCATGANAATGAAAGATGTATATGAATACTACTCCTCATAAAAAATTGTACTGATCCATACATTTTTCAAAAAGTTATAGCATAATAAAGTTAAAAATGTAAAATACAAAATCGAAAATTTTCACACAAAAATAGCATTCGGTAGCCGTTTTCACCATGAAGACAAGTCCAGAGGTCAAATTTTTTTTTTTCAAATTAAAGTACATTACATTAGCTTTAATTTAAGATATATATAAAAGTGTCAGACCTTCCGGAACATTTTCAAAATTTAAGTTGAAAAAGTTAATTTTTTGTGAAAAAGTTGTCATTTTAAATCCCCCCTTGTGGGCAGGTTAAGGGTTAAATTTATGAAAAAAATATACCAAATGAAAGGTAATGATATTATGCATCTATATAAAAAAAAATTATATTGATATGTTCATTTTTGAAAAAGTTAGAGCAGTTTTTAGTAAAGAAAATTGAAAAAATTTCGAAAATTAGCGATTTTTAAATTCGTAATTTTTATGGAGGTTTCCCCCATTTACGGGGAACGAGGGCATTTTTTTCAATTTTTGAGGGTAATGTCTTCGACTAGATACAATTTGTGATCTTTTGACGTATCATTGAAAGAAATTGGTTCGGTGAGAGCTGAGAAAAAGTGGTAACAGACACAAAAAAAAAAACACATCTTAGTAAAACCAATTCCTTCTCAGCTTCGCATCGAAGCTAAAAATTTAATTGCACATTTGAAAACATCGCGAAAAGTTGATTTTGTAAAGCATATTTTTGTTTCTGATGAAAGTTCCTTGTAGTCTGGTGTATTTATTCATAAGTAACAAAATTTTTTTATTAAAAAGTATTGTATCAATCCCTTTAAATTTTTATACGCGTTAAAAGTATATAAACATACAACGCCTTTTTACTTTTATAACATCTCCGTAAATATTACAATATTATATTATTGAGTATCAATTTCATGCTAAATTTAATTACTATAATTATTATGTATTCATATATTATAATTATAAATCGGGATAAAATTAAGGGAATAAGAGTTATGGTTGCTTTTGAAATAATCTACTAATCTCTTAAAATTAAACACTATCTACAGATTTGCATCGAAGCGTTTCTTATGATAGTGATTTTAATCACTGTCAAATATCATCTATACTTGTCCCATCTATGCCACGTCCACTGTGCCGTGACCCCACTGTGCTATCGTTTTTTTTTAAACTTGAACCTTCTTATAGTTGTGTTAAGAATCGATTGTAATGTTTTTAACGTAATATAACTCTTTTAGTAATTATTCGATAAAATTATTAAACGATTAAAAATACTCACGATGGTGGTAAAAAATATACATAATTTTTGGTATCCCAAGTATTAAGGTTATCATTTAATATTTTAATTACAATTGATGATTTACATTTTTTGTAACTAAAGTTACAAAGATATAATTAAAAAAAAAAATTTGACTAAAATTAACTTACTTGTTGTACATTAGTAAAGCTAAACAATTTCATATATCTTCAACAGCTTGCTGAAGTGTTTATCAAAAAAGTAAATGAAATTTAGAATGAACCTAAAAACTAAATTTTATTTGTCTTGCAATGAACTTGACACATTGTCAGCAATAATTTACTCATAAATATTTCTTTGAGTAATAATTGGTTTTTGGGACATAATTATCAAATGACTAGTAAAGTTTCAAAAATTAAATCTAATAGCAATACGATGCCATAACTAGCTTTTAAGTTATTTAATATCTAGTTTGAACATCCATTGTATCAAATTAATTATATAAATTGTAGAAATTTATCTTTAAAACTACAATTTGGAGAGGACTACCTCGCTTAATTGTGCCAAAAACAGATAAGATATCAATATTCATTTTCTCTAACATATAAATATTGTTAATAAATTTCAAAATGTTTAAATTTAAAACACTAAGAACGGCCTAATGGCGGTTTATGACTTTAACATCTGTTATCATTCACTGCCACAATTACAAAAAAGTTGTGGGTGTAAATTCCTTCAAGATAAAAAAATTCTAATCACATATTAGCGTAAGTACAGGAGTTTTAAACGTAACAATGTACCAATTTAACTTTTTTTTATCAGTTTCGACAATGTTTGAAAAAGATCATCATTGTTTCAACGTAAATAAAGTTAAAATTTGTAAATTTTATTATGTAACCGTTAAATAAAAATTAGTGAATACTTTTTTTTTAGTTATAGAAATTTATTAAAAAAGAAACAATTTATTTTGTCTCCTACCCCTTATTTTTAGTTTTGAAGTAGCAAATTATGAAGAGTTACTATATTATATAACCTCTTTTTCAACATTTATTCCAGATTCAAATACATGCATAATACTACATTATCTATTTAACTTAAAATATTCGACTTATTCATGAGTAAGATTGTAGTAAATGGCTGTGATTGATTAAAATTTAATAGCAAACGAAATAATTAGTTAAATTAACATTTATAACAAGGATTAAAACATTTTTTTCGATTAGCATTTAAATCTATTACAATATTATCTTATAATGAAGTTACGTTTTGACAACATTTTTCGTTTTAAACGTTGTAACTATAACATTCTTAATGTTTTCCTGTCTTGTTTATAAAATTTAAAATAAAACAATTTAAGACACTCATAGTTGTAAATAACTTTATATTATATTCACTAATAGTTAATTTTTATCGTCAGAGTTGGCGATACTGTTAGAAATAATTTTTAACGCATGCGCAATGATAGTTTCACAGTCTTGAGCAGTAATATAAAATGAGCGGGAGTAAATGAACAGGAGGTGGGGCGCTGGAATGAACGTTTATGTTGTTGCATAAAGGTACGTCTAATTCTCACAACGTCACTTTTCTGATGATTGTACGACTAAATGTAATTTTTTTCCCGTTTACGAAATAATTACGATTTTACACGACGTTCAACTGGTAGACGAACTCAGCTTATAAAGCGCCGTGGACGGCATACCGTTGGATTTTGGTAAGCTTGTTTTATATTTGTTTCCATATCTCAGAATGCCGGTTGAGAAACCTCGTTGATGAGTGGGTATTTAACTCTTATCCGCCATCTTGTCGGCAAAAATGTTTCTTCTTACACCATAAAACAATTATATCTTATATAAATTTTTTTTTATTAATTTCAACATTTTCTTTTATACTTGATTTATTATTGGACAAGTTGTACCTTATCTTATTTATATCGAAATGAGTGTGCTTCATATTTAATTTGTCTCTCGGTCCTTGTACTCGTAAGACAAAATTAGCGCCAAACGCATTTGTGCTACTTTATGTCATGACCCAAAAACTTGTTGTTAGCGTGATATTAAGATGACGTTTTCTTTTTTTTCAGTTAAAATATAATTGTTTACCTCGGTATATTTTGTTTAAAATGTTATTACAGTTCTGGTCTTTTAAATTTGTTTAAAAATCAGCTGACAATTACGTAAATTTATCAAAATATAACTAATATCAAAGTTATAATTAAATCTTATGTTTTAATATAACAATATTTTTTTGAAATCATGTGCTTTAAGATTACCCTATATTAAGTATCTATTTTTAGTAAAAATCCCAAGTATTGTTATATTAGGGGTTTTTTATGTGTTATCTTTTAAGTAAACAAGCAAATAATTATTTTTTTATCTCAAGTGTGATCTATTTATTAAGTTTTCTGGTTCTTTGAAACTTTTTCTAAGTAATTATTTTCTATTAAATTGTTGAAGTTAAAATTATATTTTTTTGAACTGTACTTATAAAATCTAATATATTTTACATTGTATGAATATTAACTTTATAATTATAGAAGTTGACTTATATTGAGTTGAATTTATCTCTATTATATTTGTACATCAGAGGTAAACTAAGTTACATTTTTTGAAAATTTGTCTTGTAAAAGTTTACCTCAGGTGTACGGGTATAATTTAGATAACTCTTTTAATCCATGCTCATAAATACACAAAGGTTATCATATCTTCATTTTTTGAGCAACTACTTAAATATTTTAAAGTTACTAACATCAATCATAAATATTGCAGTAAAAACTGAAAAATTTTTTTCAATTTATTTCTTTTGTGGTAAATTTTGGTACTTAAAAATTGTTTTATAAATTATTATGAAATTAAGAATATAATTTATAGAGTTAAATAATTAGTAACAACAAAAGTATAATACATTATCATCAATATTTCAATTTATGATTATGTATGTCAAATAGTAACCTAATCATTTTATTGAAGAAACATCCTTCATTTACTTGTAGAGAGCTTACTAATTTAAAAAAATATTTTTTAGTAAAAAATATTAAAATAAACCAGTAGTTAGCGCTTTTATTTTTATCTCATGAACCTGATGATAATCAATACTTGTATTTATACATATAAATAATATTATATTGATACATTTATCCATAGATGTTACAGCATTATTATTATTTTTCAGATAAATAATAAAATATCACTTCGTTGGAATAGGCTACTGAAAGCTTTTGTAGTGATTATAATTACAAGACAATTTTAAGTGAAATTATTTATCTTTATTTTGACTTACGTTTTTATAAAAATAATTAGTGAATACTTAATGGTATTTTTATTAAATGTTCGTTATTTTTTTAGTTAATGTAAATATTTAAGTCATAAGTAAACACGTTTTAGTGTTGAAAAGTAATAATTCTAAATAAGTATTAAAATTTAAGACAGTAATTTTGTGCATGATATTGGTTCTTTCGAACCTTAAATAAGTTTAGATGATCGCTACGAATCATAATAACTCTGGGATTACCAACCACAACATGCCTAGTAAACAAGTAAATAGAATGTAAGTCATAAATTGTTAAACAGTCAAAAGTATATATATATATATAGAATTTATTTATGTTTAATTAATTTATTTATTTTTTAGAAGCTTTGAAGGTATAGATGATGCAGGTTGGAAGGCTAAACTCAAACTTCCTCCTCCCGATAAACGAATTAAAACAAGTGTAATATAAATGAAATATATTTATATATATTAAATCATTTTAATTTATATAGTCATTTTATTTTTTAGGATGTAACATCCACTAAAGGAAATGATTTTGAAGAATTCTGTTTGAAACGTGAGTTATTAATGGGTATATTTGAAAAAGGTTGGGAAAAACCTAGCCCAATTCAAGAAGCAAGTATACCAATTGCACTCTCTGGAAAAGATATATTGGCTAGAGCAAAAAATGGGACTGGAAAAACTGGTGCATATTCTATACCGGTTCTTGAACAAGTTGATCCTAAAAAAGATGTTATACAAGGTATAATAATTTAATATATTAATAATAATATTAATTATTATTTCCTGTGAGCAAAATTATTCCGTTTATGTAGTTATCACTATTATTATAAATTAAATTGCATGATAATAGTTATTTATTAATTATGTTATAATTTGTATTTTAATCCTGTATTTACTTATTCCTTGAAATTTTATAAATTATTTACCTTGTGTTTTAAATATTATTTTTTACCCAATTAACATAAAATTTTTCTTAGTAGTAGCTTAAATATAATTTAATTGAACAAAAACTGTGTTAATACTAGAAACACCTTATTTTATGATTCTAAATTTGAAAATTTTTAGAATAAATTTTGCTTACTAGTGGTGTTTATCAAAATATTGAAAAATTCATGGAAGAAAACAATTTTGTACCATGAAATAAGTTATCACTTGGATATCATAAAAATAATTATAATAAAATAACCAACATGAATTAATAAATAAATAAATAATTAAATAAATTCTGTTATTGTCTGACATACGATTGTGGGAAATCAACAGGCAACAATAGAAACACAACATAGTTTTTCCTCTTTGAGAATATTATTTATAAAAATTATTATAATTTTACAAATTATAATAATAATCATATATGTAAAAGTTTTACGAAAAAAAAAATTCATAAACTTTATTAAAACAAATACACATCTTAGCTGGCTCATACAACATTCACTGTAAGTAAATGATGATACCGATACCTACATTCAGGCCTTGAAAGTGATGCCACTTAGATATCAACGGTATCCATATAATTATATAAATTGAATAATTCAAATAATGGATTTTGAAAAATAAACATTGTTTTATGCTTAAATTTCAGAAACTAACTTATTAGTTAGAAGTATTTTAGTTCTTAGAAATGAGTTATAAGTAAATTAAATATACTTTTTACTCAAATTTTGTATAATATTTGGATTTGGAATGCAAGAAATCGAGTAGTTATAACTAATTGATTAACAATAACTAATATAAAATAATTTTGCACCATAAATTCACAACAAATAAAAATGATTTTAAGTGTTATATAAAATATTTTTTGATCGAGTAACCATAGAAAAATACATTTCTGAATACTATTGTAAAGTGGCTATAAAGTATTTTTCAAAATTTATCTATCGCTGTTTTATCATTTTTTTGTTTATCGGTATTAAACAATCTACAGTATGATTGGTTTGTCATAAACTGATCATTCTGTATATATTTTTTCTGGTTGTTTTCTCATGGAATACAATAATAAGTTTACCTGACCTTGTTTATCTTGCAGATAATGTCCTGGTGGTTGAAACCTCTAATCTCATTTCCTTGGCCAGTCATCTGGTTTAAATGAAAAATATTCTGGAGATAGTATTTGATACATTTGAGTGCTTTTTTACTTTTTAAAGTTATAGAGGAAAATATTCTCCCCTAGAGTGTTTTTAGTCATAGTAATTTTATGCAAAATTTTCTATGCTACTATAACCGTGTTATATTATTATGAAATACCTTTATTAATTAATTATAATTTATATTAAACATTAAGAAATTATTACATGTTTTTTTTTAAATTGCATGACTTAAAATCAAGAACTAGTAATACTTATCACAAAACATTTTTTTTTTTATGTATTAGGCATTTAAAGAACTATGTTTTTTTAAAAGAAAAAACTTAGTGAAAAATGGTTTGGTTGAATCTAGTTTTTGTCGCATATTAATTGTATTGTACTTTTTACTAGATCAATTTGAAGTAATTTGATGTTTGTTTATGTCTAAAAAATCTTAGGGTTTCAAAAGAATTGTAATCATTTTTTAAACTTGTGATATGTTAAAGTAATTGTATTCATTTTTTTTTTTTCATATAGCTCTTGTAATTGTACCAACCAGAGAATTAGCATTACAAACTAGTCAAATATGTATTGAACTTGCGAAACATTTAGATATAAGAGTTATGGTTACAACTGGTGGAACAAATCTTAAGGATGATATTCTTCGTATTTACCAAAGAGGTAACTTTATAATATTTTAGTTAATATATATTAGCTTATACATAATTGAACAATTTCTGTAATTGAATATTGCCTATGATAAATAAAACTATATCATCAATAAGAATTGATTACTTGTGGCTAATATTTAATATTATAAATGTATTTAAGGTATTTAAAACTAAAAATGATTTAACTTAAAAAGCGACAAGAAATAATAAGTCATTATCTGTTTAGGGCTGATAATAATAACAAGGCTGCTACATGGTTTCTATTTCATCTAAGTTTTATTTTAATTTCTCTAAAATTTTATAAAAACAATTAGTCTCTTTTAATCACCATTTTTACAAGATTTAGCATAATAACTCAATATAATATTATCAAAAATAATAATATCTTGTAAGTAACTCCACTATCAAGTGATGTAGATAATAATCATTAGAAAACAATTTTTTAAGAGTGTAAAAGCAAAATATATACCTAATCATTTCAATAAAAAATAACCTAAATTTAATATGAATGAATCTTTAAATTATCTAAGACTTACTGCTAGATGAATATACTAAAGACTAAAGTATTATTATTAATAAAAACACTGTTGCATCACAGCAGGGGAATATAGTATAGTAGAGACCGGTATAGATCATATCTGACAGTGATTAAAACTTTTATAAAACGTACCACAAGGAGACACAGCATAGTTGGAACAGAAAAAATTAATTTTTTAATATTGTACATTTCTAAAGCTTTAATTTGATATATATATAAGAAGTCATTAGAAGAATAGTTTTTTAGGTTAGAAAACCCTATAAAAAGTGAAATTTTTCATAAAAGGTATTTTTCACTTGTTATTTATTTTAATTTTAACTTAATACTGTCAAAATTATTATGTACAGTGTCAATTGTGTAAGTTCCTAATTATTCTTTAAGTGTTAATTAATTGTTTGAAAAATTAAATTTCATGTGTCACTAATTTTTATTTACTTGTTAATTTTTTTAACACGCTTATATTAGTTTCACCTGTATGTATGTATGTATGTATGTTTGTAACTCTCAAAACGCCACGCGTTATCGCATATTCCGTCGTCTAGACTAGACTGTCATAACGCATTCACCCCACCCCACCCCACGCCGGCAATACTATTTCTGTATAAATTTATTTTTGGTTATCGTACCCGTACACACGTCCGTGTCATCAATATTATATATATATATATATAAACAAATTTTTATTTTGACTAACCATTATCATCCGCGTGCATACGGCTTACGTATATATTCCTACTGCCGTTTATACCTCAGGTATAACGTTAGTCCGACCCGTCCACCCACAAAACACGACTGTACCTAATGCATGATACATTTACGTACTTAAGTCGCTTTACATGTATATATATATGTATATAAAAGCGTGGGTCCTTTGTGCCATATTTTTTGTATATTGAGCGTCTGACGCTTTTATCACAATAATACTAGTACTTTTCGTTCATTATTGCTTTAAGCTTATTTTAAAAATTATTTTTAACTTTTTAGTTCGATGTGCTTTATAAGCGTGTTTTTTTAGTTTTTTTAAACTATATTTATTTACCTCTAACCTTTAATAGAGAGAGCTACCATATTATATCATGTATTGTACTGTTGCAGTATTAAGTGTTCATTAAACTTTATTTTTAAGCTATAAGGATAGAGACAAAATAATAGTTACTATATTTTCTGATTAAATTTTGCATTTAATAAAATTATATTTTATCTTGAAGTAAAAGTATATAGATTCTGAAAAACTAGTATTTTTGACACTTTCTCCAAATTACACTTATTAAATGTACTTACAATGGTTTTATTATTATTGCCTTTATTTAAAAAATGATTCAAGTGACAGCCTTGTAAATTATGGTTTTAGAAATACAAATAATTAATATTATAGTATTTTTTATGGCTTTTTAAATTAAATTTTTTAAATATTTTTGAGTTATAAATTATTAATATTTTTTTAATTTTTAGTATATGACTTATTGTTCATAAAATATTGCTTATTTAAATGTTGCTATCTTAACTTATTTTTATATAATTTTCGTATGAAGTATCTATTAAAATCTTCCAATTATATAAATCTTGGAATTGAGGGATATTTCTGGTTTTTTTTTTCTAGTAAGTTTTGATTTGTCTAACCATGAAACTTTAAAGGTGATATAAAATTTATTAATAGGATAATTTTATATGAAATTAAAAGTATTATACTTATTTTTAATTACCAATTACATAGTTAATTATATAATACTACTGTGGGCAAAAAATAACTTATGTTCATAATTTTAAAATTCTTTATTTATTCTTTCAAATCAATTTCGTCCCACTCAATGTAATCCCCCAACCCCCTATACACTTGTGCCAATGTTTTTTCCAATTTTCGAAACAGTTGTTGAAGTCAATTTCCGGAATAGCCTCCAATGCGCGTAGCAATTCACAATTAATGTCTTCAATTGACTCAAAATTGTTTCCTCGGAGTGATCATTTCAGTTTGGTGAATAGCCAGAAATCACATGGAGCTAAATCAGGTGAATACTGTGGTTGCTGAACAATATTGGTTGAATTTTTGTCGAAAAACTAAAAAATCAATGCAGTATGCGATGGTATATTGTCGTGGTGTAAAAACCAAGAGTTGTCTGTCCATAATTCCGGCCTCTTTACGAATAGTTTTGCGCAAATGACACATAACACTTATATAGTATTCCTTTTTGACAGTTTGGCTGGTCGGAGAAATTCGGAGTACACCACACCATGATAATAAGAAAACAGTCAACATGACTTTGATTTTTGACCTGCTTTGATGTGGTTTTTTCGACTTTGGCTGTTTCTGGGTCGTAAGCATCCAAGACTTATCATCAGTAATAATACGTTTCATGACATCCTGGGAGTCAGAAAGCATTGTTTCACGGATGTCAAGGCGACGTTGTTTTTCTAAAAAATTAAGTGATTTTGGAACCATATTGTGCTTTCACTTTTCTTAGGCCCAAATGATCTTTCAAAATGATTTTTACTGATCCTTCCGATATTCCAACGATGCCAGTAAAATTTCTAACTATTAATTGTCAATTCTCGAGCATCAATTTGATGATTTTATTGACGTGTTGATCATCAGTTGATGTTGATGGCTGTCCTAGATGTGATTCGTCGTCTACGCGTTTTCTACTCTCTGAACAATTTGTACCAATCAAAAATACCTGATCGCGACATATAATTATCACCGAAGGCCTTTTGCAACATTCTGAATGTTTCTGCACCAGAAATTAGATTCTGTACTCAAAATTTATTGAATAATTTCAGTTATTGTAAAAATCGCCCAATGCACTTGTACCTCAGATAAACGAGCATATACTAAACACTAATGATTATTATGATATGACATTTCACACAGATATCACTGACAGTCATACCAATGTACAAAATAAATATTTCGACGAATGGGTTCAGCGTAAAATTTAAATTAAAAAGTCATATTACTTTTTGCCCACAGTTAGTACATATTTAACCTTATTTTATGTATGATTATCTATTGTATAATTTTTTTGCATTTCTATAAACTAGAAAATTGTAGTTCCATGTAGTTAAAATTTGTTTAATGAATATAAAAAAGCGTGAACAAACTGTCAAAATTCTTAAGAATACTAACGTCTTTACAATAAAATGAATTATAGTATTATTTCAAAGGTTTTATGTAGAAAAAAATCTATTATTTTAATTTTAAAGAGATGTTAATGCTGTCATTTAATTATCAGTTAATAAATGATAATATTGAATTTAATTATGAAGTAGTAGTTTCAATGTTATTAAAGTTTAAAAACCCAACCAAAAAATATAATTCTCAAATAAAGTTATAATTAATTTTTCTGAAGAAGAGAAGATAAAGCAATATGATAAAGAAGTATTTTATCATGTTTATTTTCCAATATTATGAACAATTATTATTGTTTTAACTTAAAATTTATATTTATATATATATATAATCAATTTATTGTGTTGTAGTTCTGTAGGCTAAAACTAAGAATAAGATTTGTTTTGGATGTTACTTGAGAAATCTTAAAGACAATCCTATTTTGTTGCTCTATGATGATTAATTTTTGGATTCCCCTTCACTTGATTAAATATGAGTGAAATTTCCATTCTGAGGGCAATTGTTTTTTTCACTTCTCAATTCTCAGGTTACTTTCATATTTTTAAATTTGTGCAGAAAAGTTGAAATGTAAAATTGATTTATCTTTTTTGTTGAAAATCATAAATTTATTGTGTAGTGATATTATTAATTTTTGTAGTTAATTTGAAATTGAAATTGTTAAGTGCTCTTTATTTTTTGACAATTTTTACAATTGTTCTTATTTATATTAATTAGAATATAACTTTTTGAATTAAAAAAAAAACAAATTCTGGTATTTCAAGTTGTGGTTGTTAAGTAGAAATGGACTTGTTATTACACTATAATATGTAAGGATGTAATCAAATTATTGTCAAATCTTATAACATCTTATTATATCTTATATATTATAACTAAAAAAAAAAAAGTTAAAATTAATGTTAAAACTCTAATTGCATGGTATTCACTCTCATTTAGATTCATATTGCATCACTTTATCTATACACTAATAGTTTTAGTTTTCTTTAAAAACCTAATTTGATTAATTTAATTAAAATTTTAATTTTACTGGTTTTTAGTAGTGATGAGAAATATCGAATAGTAACTATCAAACTAATTGATAGTTGTCTACTATTCGAACTATTCAATAGTCATTCAAAAACTATTCAAAAAGTAAAAATATTTGATAGTCTATGCTAAAAATAAACTATTCGGTTGTATAAAAATAATTTGAATAGTTATTTGATAGTTTAAAATATTCAAAAATGTCATATAAATCACTATTTTTTAGTATAATATACACTATGATCAATAAGTATCGGGAATAACTCATTTAAACAGCGTACAGTGGTCGGAGCCGGTAATTTTTTTTTTCTCAAGTTGGTACACTCTTATTTGATGTCCCTGACAATTTTGAGCGGTATCGCATCATTAATATGTGTTTGACAGCTGTAAACAACAGATTATCTGATTAAATCAAATTATCAGATTTTATTTCGCCACATTTTACTATGGAAAAATCAGCTGAGCAAAGAATCTGTTTGAAATGTTGTGTTTCCAACGATTTTACGTGCAAAGATACATTGGAAATGTTGAAGAAAACATATGGGGACTATATTATATCAAAAACCAGAGCATACGAGTGGTTAACGGCCGGATTTGTAAGCGGCCAACAATTAGATTTTACACTACAACAACACGCTAGTTCACAAAGCCAAGCTATTGCAAAAGTATTTGATGAAACACGACGTTGAACAACTTAAACAAGCACCGTGTGACTTTTGTTCTCTCGTCTAAAATTTCCACTTCATGGGAGTCATTTTGAGTCGATAGATACGATCAAAAAGAATGAGATAAGAGAACTCAAGGCCATTCGGGCTCAAGTCTTTCAGCGCTCTATGCATGACTGTGTTAAGCACTGGCATCTATGTATCGCTTCAAATGGGAGCTATTTTAAAGGAGATAAAATAAATTTGGAAGAAAATTAACACAATTTTGTTCTTTTGACTCATTCCCGGTTCATATTGATCACAGTGTAAATAAAATATTTGACAATCTTGATTTTGCTCCATGATGGTTAATTTTTGGATTCCCCTTCACTTGATTTATTATAAGTGAAAATTCTATTCTGAGAGCAATTGTTTGTCTAAATTTAGATGAATTTTTTAAATTTTACTGTAAAATTACACGTTTTGAGAAGTTTAATATAAAAATATTATAGATATTTTAATATTATAATATTATATAAAGACTTGATGAAAAAAAAAAAAGTTCAAATGTGTTGCCTGATTTAAAATTATTTTTTTCTGTTAAAAGAAAGTTTTTAAATTCTGCTTTATATTATTAAAAGTGCTTAAAACCTGAGTTATTGTCAAAATAACTCCAAAATCCTTATAATGAATTGTTTAGGAATGTGAATTTTTAAAATTGATAATACTGGTTTATTATTACTATTGGTCACTATGTTTCTAATGTGTTTTTTTCGCTGTTTTAGTCTCATTTTCTTTAAAAAAAATTTTGAAATGATATTGATCAATAATTTTTAATTTTCAGTGCATGTAATTATTGCAACACCTGGAAGAATATTAGATCTCCTTGATAAAAGTATAGCCAAAGTAGATCAATGTCGAATTCTAGTTCTAGATGAGGTAATTTAAATTATTATGATTTATAGAATTTAAGTGTTATATGAATGTTTTATTTTAGGCTGACAAACTTTTATCTCAAGATTTTAAGGGTATGCTAGATCACATTATTTCTAGGCTACCTCCAGAAAGGCAAATTTTACTTTACTCTGCAACATTCCCTTTAACTGTTAAACAATTTATGGTAAACTATAATCATCATGATATGTAAATTTTATATTAAAATACTCATTTTAGAGTAATAATTTTTTTAATTTTAGGATAAGCATTTACGTAGTCCATATGAAATTAATTTAATGGAAGAGTTAACGTTAAAGGGTGTAACTCAGTATTATGCTTTTGTACAAGAAAAACAAAAGGTTCATTGTCTCAATACTTTATTTTCGAAAGTGAGCTATATATACATTTTTTTATATATATGAACCCTAAAAATCTAAGTAATAGTAGTGCCTGATTGCATTGTCATTTGGTTGAGAATCAGTCTAAGGTGATGATTCCATATACTAAGTGAAAATCAGTTTAGTAATTGTAAACATCACTTTATAAGCAATTGTTAGGTCCTATAAATATAAATAACAAGCTTCAAGAATTTTTTATTCATCAAATCAAGTTATTTCAATAATAAAGATAGAAGTTAAATTGTATCTGACTCTGTTCAAACTTTATGAAACTGAGTTTTTGACACATTTGATACATTTTATTGACATAGATATCCTCTAAATTACATTGTTTTTTTTTTTTTTTTTTTTTCACTTTTGTCCTATTCATAAAATATTTGCTAATGTTCGTGTCTATAGTGAAATCCTAAATTTTTTAAGAATTTAATATCCTTATTTTTTTATAGTTATAAGGAAAAATTTAATCTCAAAAATAGTAAGATTGGTCTTAATAGTATTGATTTATTATTTAGTGTTAAAACTACAAAGAAAAGGATTTCCTAAAATTAATTTTAATACACTTATATAGATTAACATAAAATTAACTTAATAATTAAAAAATAAATAACTACTTTTAATGATAAGGGAACAAATTATTTTAATTTCTCTTTGTATCTATTAAGTAAATTGACTAAAACTATTTGACAAATATCTATTAAAAATATATGTAATAAGAAAATGAAGAAATAGATGTTTAAAAAAATTTGAATTCACTTTTTTCTTTATTTAAATTAAGAATTTAAATTTTTTTTAATAAAAAATAATTGTACTTTTATTTTTAGTTGCAAATTAACCAAAGTATAATATTTTGTAACTCTACTCAACGTGTTGAGTTACTTGCAAAAAAAATCACAGATCTCGGCTATTGTTGTTATTATATTCATGCTAAAATGGCACAAGCTCATCGTAACCGTGTTTTTCACGATTTTAGGAAAGGGTCATGTAGAAATCTTGTTTGTTCTGGTATGTATTAAAATATTATTTTAAAAAAAAATAATTAATTTTTTTGTTTTCGTTAATCTTTAGATCTTTTTACAAGAGGAATTGATGTACAAGCTGTCAATGTTGTTATAAACTTTGATTTTCCTAAAATGGCTGAGACTTATTTGCATCGTATTGGACGATCTGGTCGCTTTGGCCATCTTGGTATAGCTATAAATCTAATAACATATGATGATAGATTTGCTTTACATCGTATTGAACAAGAATTGGGTACTGAAATAAAACCCATTCCTAAGGTAATTTTACTATAACAGTATAAGCAATACCAATTAATTTTAAATTTTAATTTCAAAATAATTATATACATTTTTTTGTTTATTTATCATTATTATTTTTGTACAATACCTCGAATTATTATGAATTTCATAACTGTATGATTTGCTAAAAAAAATTTTATTTAGTAATTATTGAACTTTAATTTTTATTAAAGTAATTTTTAAATGTAATAGTTTTTTAGGCAAATTATTTTTTTTATCATTCTTTAACAAGTTCAGTATATTATTTGATTATATATGTTTGATTTTAAACTGATTCATTAGATAAAAGTTAAGTTCTAAAATAGAACAATTTGTAATGCCACTATTAATATTTATAAAAAATTAGGGTTTTACTTCTATTATACATGTGTAAATTTTCAGTATAATTTAAGTATAATATAAAAAAGTAATTTTAATTTTATTCTAAAAATTAGACCTGTTACATCAGTGTTAATAAAAATACATAATAGTTCTTTTTTAATGCCTTATAGTTACAAAAATTTCATTATCTTTATTTTTCAACTCACTATGATATTAACCCTATTAGATAAAACAAAAAGTTCAGTAGTTAAGCGTATTTTTTGTTTTTGGTAAAATGTATTTAAATATTTAATCCAGTTCTATAATTATGGTGTATTATGTTTATGTTTACTGCATGTCTGTATGTATCTAATAATTTTTATTGAAAACATGTATTTTGTAGGTTATTGATCCTAAATTGTATGTTGCTCGACCAGAAGATCAAGAGATAACTGAAGATATGGATCTTAGTAAATAAACATTTACTATTCATTCTGCTCATTGTAAATATTTGTAACTTAAACAAAACTACCCTACATACTTAATTGTGTAAAACTCGAAGAACCCAAGATAAAAACTTTATTTTCAATCGCTAAAGAAAAAATTTGATTTAAAAACTGTGGAGTTTATGTTAAATTTTTTTGTTTTAGTTTGTTAAACAATTTCAAATTCTTCTTTTCTTTTCTATAATTTTTTTAAATCAAATATTAAATTTAGTTGTGTATATTGGAGTTCGCGATATGGTTATAAGTTCTTGGATCAAACCTAACGCGAGTTGCACTTGACTTTGGCCTAGTTGATATAAATGTATATATTTTTAATTATTAAAAAAAAAAACAAAAAATTCATTGCTATTTTCCAATAAAACTGTAAATAAAAGTATATTATTTATTTTTATTTTAAAATAAACTCAATTTCAACTGTAAAATAGCATCAAAGATCTCTAATAAAAGTGCAACTTTTAAAAATAATTGATCCAAATTGTGAATTAAGGTTACGGTTACCTTAATTTCATTAATAATGAAAAACCGTTTCCCGTCCATTTTCTGTTAATTTAACTTTGGTTTTATAGAGGCATTCACCTCAGCCCGATTGTCTTTTTCACCAATTTAATTTTTTTTTTTTTTAATTTTTAAAATTTGGACGGACTTTATTTTTAATACTTTTTTTTTTTTCATACTTATGACTAATATTCATAATAAAAAATAACTAATTCAATTTTCTATAATTTGACTTGGGAAATCAGGGCTGAAAGTCAAATTATAATGGGGGGGAAATAAATAGCAAAACAAATTTTACTGAAAAACTGTAAGGTACCAAACTTTGTTTTTAAATACAGTAATAAAATTGATTCATCTTCATAAAAATTTAATTATACATTATTTTGGTACTTTTACAATGATATTAATTCTATAATATACTTAATATGTAGTTTTAATATCTTCAAAACAAAAGTATTTAAAAAAAAGGTTGAAAGTTAACTTGATGCAAACTGTATACTTATTTTCTTTTAAATATGTATTTTATTGATCTAATATTTTTTTCTTCTACCGATTGTAATACAAGCAATTTCTATTTATTTGAATACAGACAAATATTAATTATTATAATCTTATTGTTATATCTATTAATGATGTGTGTAATTTACCAACCTGTTATCTATGTGTACAAATGACAATAGTATTTCATCACATATAATAGTATTTATTAAAATTTATCACTCAATAAATTTAAATAAGTTACAAGTTTAATGTGTATAATCAGTTAAAACTATATTTTAGTAAATGTGAAAGATTGTGTTAATAAATTTAACTTTCAACCAATTTGTGTTAATTTATTTTTAGAATAATAGTTTTCAACCACGAGTATTGTTTATAATTTCAAACCACATTTTCTTGTTAAAATTAAATTAAATTATGTTAGCACAGTACTACTACATTTTTTAATTGTGGTGTAGATTATAGAACAAAAACCTAGCACAGTGGGGACGTGGCATAGTAGAATCCAGTATAGATTTAATCTAACAGTGATTAAAATCACTATTAAAAAGAAATGCTTCGATGCAGTGTTAAAATAGTGTTTAATTTTAAGAAATTGATTGATAATTACAAAAGCAACATCAATTTCTATTTCCTTAATTATATCCAGATTAGTAATTCTTAGATTTAAAATTATAATATATAATTTTTTAATTGTATATTATAATTTTTATAACTAATTGTTTTCAAATTATTATTGATTTTGATTTTTAATATGCTAAAAGTAATCATTTTTAAACTACTTTTTTTTTTGTGAAAATCTATAATAAAAAAAAAAAATGTATTGCCATAACTTTTAGCTTAACTTGCAAGTTTGAAATTGACGTTATTAAATAGAAAAAAATGGTATTGTTAAAATTAATATGGAGTTTGCAAATTTTTTAATTACTATTTTCGGTAAATTTATCAGAGAAGGTCGATTTTTTTTACATTTTTATAGTAATAGATCACTTGAATAAAAATCATAGTAGTCATTTCTAATTAACTTTTGGTGTTTAAAAAGATTCTACAATGGAAATATTCAGAACTTAATTAATTTTAACGATTTACTTTAACTAAAAGAACCAATAAAAAAAAATTGTTCAAAAGATTACTTAATTAAGCGTATTATAAAATTTGATTATAATTGTAAAAATTAATTGTTAAATTTATGTGAAACTAACAATATTTTTTTTTATATTTATAATGTATATAACATGTTTCAAAAAAATTTGAAATATTATAGTCTAGTAGTATCACACACAAATAGAGTAAAAAACCCGGCACAGTGGTGACGTGGCATAGTTGGATCAAGTATAATGATATCTGACAGTGATTAAAATCACTATCAAAAATAAACGCTTCGATGCAAATCTTTAGATAGTGTTTAATTTTAAAAAAATTGGTGTTTTATTCCAAAAGCTACTTGATCTGCTGGTTCCTTATTAATATCTCGATTAAGATAAAGTATGTCGAATGAAAAAGGGTTTATTAAAAAATATTATTTCTCATAAAAAAATTGTGTGGATCCATAAACTTTTCAATAAGTTATAGCATTATAAAGTTAAATATAATATAAATAATAAAATCGAGAATTTTCACACGAAAATAGCATTCGGTAGCCATTTTCGCCGTGAAGACAAGTCCACAGGTCAAATTTTTTTTTTTCAAATTAAAGTATATTACATTAGTTTTAATTTAAGATATATATAAAAGTGTCAGACCTTCCGGAACATTTTCAAAAGT